AAACGTTAATAAATAAGCAATAAAATTAATAAGAATTAATAATCAAACAAGGATGTTTAAAGTATCCAAATTTACGCGTAAAACTATTTAAAACTGGCAACTGTTCTTGGCGTTAAGTTAACCGTCCGACACGGATTACGTACTAATTTATTAATCGACTAACACCACACCAAAAGAGAGAGAGAGAGAGAGAGTGCGAGAGAGAATGCAAACAGATAGCTGTGCGTCCTTAATAGGCAGATAACGAACAAACCCCTTGACGCGAGTTCACTCGCGAGTATCTGATTCAATTATTCGAGCTGGCTTAAGTAATAGCACGCTGCTGCTACAGTGTTATTACAACTTCTACGAATGGGGGGTTTCGAGGAGAAGAAAGAGAAAGAGAATGGTGGGGGAGCAAATGGGGAAAAGGGAGTAAATGAAGGTAGATAGGTGGGTAGATGGGGTTGGTATACTAGATGTAAGTACCAACAACGTTCGACGAACCATGTTTCGTATTACACGATGACACTGATCTTCTTTCTCACTCTCTTAGTTATACCTACACACATATACATATTTATATATATATATATATATTTATATATATTTAGACTAGTATATATCCTTTGAAACTTCTCTACGGTGAAGTTTAATTCAAGAAGTTGGTGAAACGTTCTCGCTGGCAAGTGGAATGACGAAGAAGAAAGACAGGAAGAAAGTTGTGGACAATATTCTATTTCTATCTTTCTCTCTCTCTATCTATCTATCTCTTTTTCTCTTTCTCTTTCTTTTACGCCAGCTGTCTCTGTTTTTTATCTATTTTCTCTCTTTTTCTTATTACAGCAGCAGCATCCAAACAACTTGCTTGATCGAATTTCTTCCTGTAATTTCTCTCCTCCCTCCCTTTACCAGACCCCTTCCACACGCCTCCTTAAAACCCTCTACTACACTTATTTTTTCTCTTTTCTTCAAAATAATATTAATAATATAATAATAAGAGTATTAATAATAATAATAGTAATAAAATATTTTTCCTTGTTAAGTATTTAAATTATTCATTTAAAGGTATATAAATAAATTCAGCGAAATGAAATATATGAAAAAAAAAAAAATAAAAGTTTAATAAGTAATAATAATAACACAGAGATAGAGAGAAATGTTATTAATTCAATATCGAAAATAAGAAAAATAATTAATTTTCTATTTCTCTGGTTTTTAAAACGATGGACAATTGAAATGTGTAGAATATTATTAAACCTTTTCTAATTAATTCTAAGAAATAATTGCAATAAAATATAACTCTTATTCTCTCTCTCTCTCTCTCTCTCTCTTTAAAATTAAAATAAAACGATTAAAAAGAAAAAATAAAAGTAGAGGAAAACAAAAAAAAGAAAAATATTTTAAAAACCTTTTTCCACCAATTAATTCTAACAAATAATTAAGAAATTCTATAACAACGATTAATGAATCAAGTCCTTTATCATTCTAGATCTCTGACGATGATATGGATGAAAAAAGAAGAAAAAACAAAGAAAATAAAAGATAGAAAAAGAGAGAGAGAGAGAGAGAGAGAGAGAGAGAGAAAGAGACAAATGAATTAATTGCAAGTCCTGTAACATATAACGAACGTAATCACTTCATCTCTTTTATCCCCTTTCTCTATCACTCTCGAATTTCATCTAGTGCAGGAATGCTGTAATTAATCTCGATCGACTAGTATGGATTGTCCGGCACTCGAGGGGTGGGGGTATGGGGGGAAGGTGAAGGACTGGGCCATTCCTAGATCCAAAAGCCGATGAGTCAATTTCTCCAACGGTATCGATCAAGTTACACAGTTCCAACTGGAGCACGTGAATTTGATTGCGGCTATGAGTTTTACTTCCCCTCCCCCACCCCCTCACACATACCTGGTCCATATTACTTTCTTTTTCTCTCTCTCTTTCTCGTCTGTGGTTTCCCTAGCCAAACGTTTCATCCCTATGAAAACTTTTCACCTTTTACAAAAAAAAAAAAAAAATAGAAAACATCGAATAATACTGGACCAACAAATTTCTTTTTTCTCCCTCTTAAACTACCTAAAATTTTACGAATGTATATATGTGTGTGTGTGTGTACAAGAGAAAGAAAAAGACAGAAAGAAAGAAGAAAAAAAAACAACATGAAGGAACAAAAAGGGCCGAGAAGTGGAAAGGTTTTTTGGCATGTTCACAGAGAGAGAGAGAGAGAGAGAGAGAGAAAGAGAGAGAAATAAGGACGAACATGGAGGCTTAACGGGCCATTAAGTAGACCATAAAAAAGATTAAAGTTAAACCGCCATTATGCAAAATTACATTGCTCTCCGTGCTGTACCGTATGTCTGCACTTTCTCTCTTTTTCTCTCTCTATTCCTATGTTTCTTTTCCTTTTTCATTTTTTTGTAATACGAATGACAGAGATAGGTAGAAAAACATCTATATAAAATGTACACGTCGTATGTATATATATATATATATATATATGTATATCATACATGTACATTTATATATTTATAAGCGTAGATTGTTGTATTCGTGTTAACGTAAAACCACCAACTCACGAAGAGAATTATACGTGCCAGAAAAACGGAAGAGTAATTTAACCAGCTCGGATATTCCGCTAATTGTACACCTCAGAACTTTATTTGTTGTTTTATTCTTTTTTCCTTTTTTTCTTTCTTCAACTGCCTACCACTACGCGGAACAAGAGAAATTGCAATTGCATCCGTTTTTCGTTCTAGTTTTACTTTTTTAACGCATTTTTACACCGTTCCTTACAAATATCTAACTACACTTACGTAAGTTTTGCTATTGATATTAAATAGTTTATAGGAAAATTATTATTATTTTTAATACGTTATAATTCAACTAACGAATAATATAACTTAACGTAATTATTTTTTGTAATACTTCATATACGCGAAATAAATCATTATTAAAAGTATAAATCACACAAAGCGTAAATACGCAAACAAATTCGTTGAAGATATTTTTGTATTATAATTAAAATTTGTACATCTATCTTTTAACTACGATTTCGAATTTATAATTAAAAACAACGAAAGAAGAAAAATAAGATAAAAAATACAAAAACTAAATTCTAAAACTAAATGGAATAAAATATTGAACAAAACACGTATGAATGATAATTCAATTCGAACGAATCGAATATTTATTTTTGACTCACAATTTGAAATCAATAATAATACGTAAAATACGAAATGAAATTATAACAATAACGAATTAAGAAGAAACATTTACAAATTAATAAAAAAAATTCAGAAATAAATATTCAAATGTGAAGCGAATATTAATCTTTGACTTGGCTTTAACGTTTAAATTAAAAATAATATAAAAAGTTCTATAAAAAAAAAAAAAAAAAAAAAATGATGCTTCCTGAGTGGAAAAATGTCGTACAAAAAGTAAACTATCTTTCTTTCTCTCTTTCTTTCTCTCTCTCTCTCTCTCTCTCTCTCTCTCTCTCTCCCTTTCTTTTTAACTATCTGTCTTTCTTTATCTCGTTCTCCTCGTTCTTTCTCTTCAACGTTAAGAAACGAATCTTGATTAATGGAGCAAGTTTCCACCATCCTTGTCCGGTCCAAACCATGCTTGGAATTTATAATGTTGGAATACATTAAAATATAATCTCGTTGGGCCATACGAAGGGTAATTCTTCGTCCTATCCATTCTTCTTTCTCTAGTTTAACCTCTCCCACTCTAACTCCCTTCTCACCCCACCCCACCCCACCCCATCTCTCATTCTCTCATTCTCTCACTCTCTCCCTTTTAACTAACAACGATAAATTATGTAATAAATTTTATCATTATTATAATTTTCTTCATTATTACACATTTGCTATTATTTATTAATAAATAAATATTAGATTTTGGGAAAAAATAAATCTATTATTTTTACCAATTATACGAGGATATATAATTTTCTTTTTCCAAATCTAATATAGAGCATGTTCATTTTAATAATGTAGATAAAAAGAAAAAAAAAAAAAAAAGAAAGAATACATCGATAATATTAATTTTCAACTTGCAATATTAAAGTCGGTAATTTAAGAGAGAAAAAAAAAAAGGAGAAAGAAATATTTATAAACATAAATCGAGAAATAAATCAAATAGAATTTAATTCATAAGAACGTACAAAATAATAGGAAACAATTAATACATGTAAAGAATAACAATGAGAATAATAAAAAAAAAAAATAATAACGACGTTTTCCTTTCGGTAATTAGTGTATGCGAGAGAAAAAGAGAGACAGAGAAAAAAAGAAAGAGAGAGAGAGAGAGTTAGGGGCTGTTTTTGATCGATTACGGTAATTACGTGTCTAGGGAACAACACGTCGATCGAAATCAAAAAAATACGACGATGCTTCGTTGCTCATTAATCATCACGAGTATCGCAAAAATTCTATACCTTCCTCGATCGAGGTTCTCCTCTATTGATGAGCCGAAAAAAAAAATATTTTTGATACGTACCCACAACCCATACACATGTATGTTCTTCGAAAATATTATTTAAAATATATTTATATAATAAATTGTGAAGGAAAGATCGTGTCGAAATGAAAGTAAATTATTTTTCAAACAACGTAAATCTAATAAGTTAATTTAGCATAATTTTAATCATTCGAATTATATCATTCTACCTTGATTTAATTTTTATTTTTATGTCGAAGAGTGATCAAGATAGACTTATATAATATTTGATTGTAAAAATCATTGTTCATTTTTGTATCTAATATTTTAATAATATTTGTTAAAACATTTAATAATAAATGGTCAAAAATGATATATATATAAGTTAATATATGCGATTGTTGTAATATAAAATAATGTATTATTCACGACTAACGTAATTTGTATAAATTATTCTTTAAATTCGATGAATATTGTCAATGATCATTAGAACGATCTGTGTAAAATAATCATAATAATAATAATAATAATAATAATAATAATAATAATAATAATAAATGTTAATAGAATATTTACCTTATAACTACCAACCGCGTGTGCACCATCGTAGATGTAAAGATGATCGTTACAATCGAGTTGAAGTTGATCAAATCGTAGCATGAAACGTTGAAGGATGCTGTGCGTTTGAAAGGTGATTGCACAATCGAGATCACGTTCGTGTTTAGAGGTTAATACTGCACCGTCTATTTTTCTGTAGAGATCTCGCATGAAATATTTCTTACAAATATCGCTCATCTGATCTGAAACAATCGAATTAACAAAAAATACTCATTAATTTACTGCGTTCGTTCGTTCGTTTGTTCGTTATACGTGTGTATGTAAGAATAAAAAAGAAGAATAAGAAACAATAAAGCTAATTATTATTAATAATACACGAAATAAAATAAATCATTTTTATCAATAAGTAATTAGAACAATGGGAAAAAAAATGATATTTGTAATTGTTGAGGAAGAAAAAAACTGTTGTTCTACGTGTGTGAATATGTTAAGTGAATTATATTTTTGGAATATATATTTAAAATTGTAAATATTTGATACGTAGATAAATGAAAAATATTGAATAGCACACGATGATGTTCGAATCAAGACTAATCTTATCATCCTCACCTTTATTCGTATTGATAAAAACAATTCTTAGATAAAGTACAAAATAAATGACGTATAAGAAGATACACGAACTGTGTTTTACAAAATATAAACAAATAATGACGAATACCGATTATCCGAACTATTATTTATTTATAATCGTTATTTTTCTATCTACATATTAGAAAATGTATTTGAAATGTATAATAAAATTGAAACAAATGAATTTCTATTAAATAAATAATAACTTGTTATACATTATTATTGATACATTTTTTAAATTAAATGAAAATATATATATTTTTGTACGACAACTGTATATGATAAACATTTATAATAAATAAAAAATTATTCCCTACCCCCAATTAGCGTTATATTATTTCTTTCAACTTTTTAATTAATAAACGTATGATACCACGAACATATATGCATATACATATATACGATAAAAGTATTGTTTAAAATTGAAATAAATTTTCATTGAAATTTAATAATACGAGTAATGGGAATGAAATTGGTCGACAGACACATGAGTTTCATTAGAACAAACTCGTTGTTTTCTCTCTCTCTCTCTCTCTCTCTCTCTCTCTCTCCCTCTCTCTCTCCTTTCTTTGTATGTAAAGTGAGAAAAACAATAGAACGAATGTGTTTCATTCGTGTAAGATGATTTGGGTGCAATTTAGATGGAATATGAGGCATTGCGAGGGGCGGGCTGGGTGTTGGGTGGTTAGGGGGAGGGGTGAGGGGAGATTCACGGTAGCCATAATGCTACAAGAGTAGAACGAACCGCTCACAACTTTGGATATTTGTCTCTGCGTATCCTCGCTCTTCGGTACTGCCGACAGCAAAATTACTTAGTACTCGGCTGCTGTTTCCAAACCTACCTATGTTCCTCTTTATATATATATATGTATGTTTGTGTGTGTGTGCATGTATTCTAATGTATGTGATACTTGTAGCACGAGACGTATATCCAAAGTGCACCAATCCTATTTCCGACATATTTCAACATAACTTTCGACGAATTTTAACTCATAATTGTATAGGATATATTTATTACTACGTTTTGACATTGTTATTACGTTTTAATAAATATTTATTACTTTTCAATTGTTTATATCAATATGTATTGACGAATTGTTTTGTTTCGAATTTTATTTCAATCGTTAAATGCGTAACATTATTTTTTATACGTGTTTAATAATACATTTATATTTTTTCTTTGTGCGAATGAATTATTTGTTATATTATATATTTTAAGTTTAAAATTAATTTTAATATTATTAACGCGAACATTTGGTGTTTCTTATTTCTTTCGTCACTTAAGAATTCTTTTCCTTTTTTTTTTTTTTTTATTTCTCGATTGCGTGATCTCGTTGTGTAATATGTTTTAAAATAACGATTTTCGAGTTCTTAGGAAAGAATTCATTTAATAGATTCGGGAACTAACAATAGGAAAATAACGATGGCTGTTACCGAATACTAAAAAGAGAAAGAAAGAGAAAGAAAGAGAAAGAAAGAAAGAAAGAAAGGAGAATTCTCGTTCGAATAGCCGTGTTTACAATTTCAATATATGTATATACAATATATATATTAGATTTAAGTATAATATAAGTTTATACATGACATTTCAAATACTATTTTAAAAATTAGATTCTTCAAAATTGAAATAAAATAGTACTGAAATATCAAACAAAACTCTAATAAATAAAGTA